GGGGCGCAAGAGTCGCGCCAGAGGAGGAGGGTCCGCCCCGCCCGCCCCGTCCTCGCCGCTCAGATCCGGGCGCGTTCGATGGGGTTCGGCGGCGGCAGCGGGGGGCGAAAAGCTTAAGTAAGATTGGAGAGGGGTGGAAATAAGCAGATGTGTGGTGGGGGAGCGGCTGGGGCCCTCGCCGCCCCGACACGACCCTGCGACATGACTTATTTCTGTAATCCGCTCGTGTGATTTTGCGGCCGGCTGGGCGCAGCCGTCAGGTGGCGCGGCGCGGGTCTGCGGCGGGAGTCCTCTTGTCGCTGTGTAGAGCGCGCAGGGGCCTGGGCGGCGTCGTCGACGGGGAGGGGCGGCGGGGCGTAGCGGCCACTGGCGACACAGCAGACCACCGCCGCACACCCCTAAATGTCAGAGCGCGTCACACGTAGGCTGCGGGGTGGCCTGGCGGCTCGACCGACAGACAGAGGGGGAGGGGGTAGTTGGCAGGGAGCTTGGTGTTGGGGGAAACGCGAGGAATCAAAGTTAGGCTGCTGCTGCCAAACCCGAGTGTTTCGGCTTTAATGGTATTGAAGCAAATTGCACAGTGACCTGTTGATTGAGGAGGTGACTCTTTTGGCCCGAGGCGGTGGGGGTCCTTTAAAGTGCGGCGCAGAAAAATTAATCGACTGCTGTGGCTGTGGCGTGGCACCTCCGTGTCTGGTGCCCGGCGAGGGGTGGGTTAGGTTGAGGGTGAGCTGCTGCGCCGACGCGACGAGCACAGCCAGAGCGCCCCGTCAGGTCGAGTACGGTTGACTTGAGCCCCCTGCAGTGCCCCGCCCCGCCCCGCCCCGCCACGCCCTTGCGGAGCTCGCAGTGCGCCTCAGCTGCGGATTGTTTTAAAGGAGATGGGATGAGACGTGCGGGCGAGGGTTGGCGGCCGGGGCGGCTGACATCGGCTGAGCTGGAAATATGAGCGGCATTGAAAACAAGACGGAGGGCGTGTGGATGAGACATTTCCCGCCGCGCCGTGGAGGCGGCTCGAGGCCGCGCGTGCTGCTGCCGCGCTCCCCATTGATGTAGGGGGCTCTGCTGGCCTCCGGGGCTGCTGCGGCTCTCCCCGGCCGGGCGCGCCCCAGGCGGACGTGCGGGAAATGTTAACGGCCTGCTCACCTTGTAGTCCTGGTCCTTGGTCCCCGTTCGAGCCTCCGGGGTGCCTCTATACCTCGCGGTCCTCCTGACCTCCCCACCCCGCCGGCCCGGGCCCCGGGCACCCTCTACGCAGCTGCGTCCGAACGGTCCCCGCGTACCGACGACGGCGACCCCCGCGCGCCTTTGGACACCTGTTCGCCTCGTTTTGGAGCCCTCGCCCGGGAGAGCGGAGGGAGACAGTGGGCGACAGGAAGCGCGGGGATCCTCCCCGCACGCAGCCCTGTGCCATCACACTAATGGATGCGTCGTTGCCAAGACTTGCCGGGCGGCGGGGGTGGCGGGGGGTGTAGGCGGCGCGGGGCTTGGGGGCGGCGCGGCGGTGGCGGTGGGGTTAGAGCGAGGAACATCACGCTAACTTTTTCCCTCCCCTCTTCCCGCTCCGTCCTCCCTCCCTCTCCCGATGCCCCGTCGTCACCCTCGTTTTCCTTTCCCCTCCTCCTTCTTCCTCCGTTTCCTGCTTTCGCCGTTGCAGCGTCATTTTCCTTCCTTATGGTTTCCCCGCACCTTTACTTACTTACTTACTCTCACTTTCACGCCTGCGTGCGCCGAGGGGGGTGGGGCGGGGCGGGGTGGTCGGACTCCCAGTGGGCAACGAGTACGAAGAGTGCAGAGGTGAGTCTGCCGTCCCTTTCTTTCTTTCTTACCCTCCCCCCTCGCCTCTCTTTATGTTTTTCTTTCCCTTTC